TGTACCCGGTACCCTCCGGAACACTTGCGGTGTCCGAATACCATCGTCCTATATATTAATCTTTACCTCTCGACCATTTCGAGACTCCTCTTCATGTCCGTAGTATCATCTGGGACTCCGAACAACATTCTCTCACCAAATCACATAACTCATATAATACAAAATCTCATTGAACGTTAAGCGTGCGGACCCTACGGGTTCGAGAACTATGTAGACATGACCGAGACGCCTCTCCAGTCAATAACCAATAGCGGAACCTGGATGCTCATATTGGCTCCCACATATTCTACGAAGATCGTTATGGCTCGAACCGTAATGACAACATACGTTTCCCTTTGTCCATCGGTATGTTACTTGCCCGAGATTCGATCATCGGTATCTTCATACCTAGTTCAATCTCATTACCGGCAAGTCTCTCTTTAGTCGTTTCGTAATGCATCATCCTGCAACTAACTTATTAGTCACTTTGCTTGCCAGGCTTCTTATGATGTGCATTACCGAGAGGGCCCAGAGATATCTCTCTGATACTCGGAGTGACAAATCCTAATCTCAATCTATGCCAACCCAACAAACACCTTCAGAGGTACCTGTAGAGCATCTTTATAATCACCCAGTTACATTGTGACGTTTGATAGCACACAAGGTATTCCTCCGGTATCCGGGAGATGCATAATCTCATAGTCGAAGGAATATGTATTTGACATGAAGAAAGCAATAGCAATAAAACTGAACGATCATTATGCTAAGCTAATGGATGGGTCTTGTCCATCGCATCATTCTCCTAATGATGTGATCCACATATACTTATCAGAAATGTTGTAGTGCTCCCACTCACCTTTTCGTAAATACAGGCTTCACTGTAAGTCTGTAAAAAACCACATGCTTTGATCATTTCATCAAAGTGTATATTCAAACTCCGAGATGCTTGCACCAGTCCATAGATGGATTGCTGGAGCTTGCACACTTTTTAGCACCTTTATGATCGACAAAACCTTCTGGTTATATCATATACAACTCCTTTTTTAGAAATCCATTAAGGTATCCAGTTTTGACATCCATTTGCCAGATTTCATAATCATAAAATGTGGCAATTGCTAACATGATTTGGACAGACTTAAGCATGGCTACGAGTGAAAAAGTCTCATCGTAGTCAACTCCTTGAACTTGTCGAAAGCCTTTTGTGGCAAGTCGAGCTTTATAGACAGTAACATTACCATCAGCGCCAGTCTTCTTCTTGAAGATCCACTTATTCTCTGTGGCTCACCGATCATAGGGCAAATCCACCAAAGTCCACACTTTGCTCTCATATATGGATCCTATCTCAGATTTCAGGGCCTCAAGCCATTTATCGGAATCTGGGCTCATCATAGCTTCTTCATAGTTCATAGGTTCGTGATACGTCTCCGTCGTATCAATAATTTTCTATTGTTCCATGCCAATATTATTCAACTTTCATATACTTTTGGCAACTTTTTATACTATTTTTGGGACTACCATATTGATCCAGTGCTTAGTGCTAGTTCCTGTTTGTTGCATGTTTTTTGTTTCGCTGAAAACCCATATCAAACAGAGTCCAAACGGGATAAAAACTGACAGAGATTTTTTTGGTGTATTTATGATTTTTGGGAAGAAGAATCAACACGAGACGATTCCCGAGGGGCCATGAGGCAGGGGGCGCGCCCTGGGCCCTCATGGCCACCCCGTAAGGTGGTTGGTGCTGTTCTTCCGCCGCAAGAAAGCTAATATCCGGATAGAAATCGTGTTAAAATTTCAGCCCAATCGGAGTTACGGATCTCCGGGAATATAAGAAATGATGAAAGGCCAGAATCTAGAACGCAGAAACAGAGAGAGATAGAGAGGCGGATCCAATCTCGGAGGGGCTCTCGCCCCTCCCACACTATGGAGACCATGGACTAGAGGGGAAACCCGTCTCCCATCTAGGGAGAAGGTCAAGGAAGAAGAAGAAGTAGAAGAAGGTGGGGGGCTCTCTCCCCCTCGCTTTCGGTGGCGCTGGAATGCCGCCGGGGGCCATCATCATCACCGTGATCTACACCAACACCGCCGTCACCTTCACCAACATATCCATCACCTTACCCCATCTATATTCAGTGGTCCACTATCCCGCAACCCGCTGTACCCTCTACTTGAACATGGTGCTTTATGCTTCATATTATTATCCAATGACGTGTTGCCATCCTATGATGTCTGAGTAGATTTTGGTTGTCCTATCGGTAATTGGTGAATTGCTATGATTGGTTTAATTTTCTTGTGGTTATGTTGTTGTCCTATGGTGCTCTCCGTGTCGCGCAATCGCGAGGGATTCCCGCTGTAGGGTGTTCCAATACGTTCATGATTCGCTTATAGTGGGTTGCTTGAGTGACAAAAGCATAAACCCGAGTAAGGGGGTTGTGTGGCGTATGGGATAAAGGGGACTTGATGCTTTAATGCTATGGTTGGGTTTTACCTTAATGATATTTAGTAGTTGCAGATGCTTGCTAGAGTTCCAATCATAAGTGCATATGATCCAATAAGAGAAAGTATGTTAGCTTATGCGTCTCCCACATAAAACTTGCTATCGGTCTAGTAAAGTAG